TGCACGTGTATGTCTATGTGTAGTATGTACATGTCTGAGTGCACATGTCCAAGGAGTCCAAACGAGAGTCTCAGATCCCGTGGAGCTGGAGTTACATGCAGTTGTGAGCCCCCAAGGTGGGTGCTGGAGATTGAACTCAATCAGGTCCTCTGTAAGAGCAGGATGTGCTCTTAGCCACTGAGCCAAGTCTCTGGCTGTTATATTCTTTCTAAAATGTTTTATTATGAAAAAAGTTTTCTTTCTCTACATTTTTTTTCATTTCTTTCTGTATTTTTTTGGAGACAGGGTCCCTCTATGTAGTCCTGAAACTCACTATGTGGACAAGGCCACAAACTCCCAGAGATCCATCTGCCTCTGACTCCTAAGTGCTGGGATTAAGACCTGTGGCACTAGGCCCAGCTCATTTTCCAGTTTTTTAAAAGAATTTAATTATTTTTAATTCCATGTGTGTGGTGTCTGTAAGTGGGCGATGGCTCTGAAATCCAGACCCCCAGGAGCTAGAGTTAGATAGTCATGACCTAACCACACAGGGGATGGAAACTGAAAATGCAGTAGGGGCTTCTCACCAACAAGCCATCTCTCTAGCCCCATTTCCCAATGCTGTGAAAAGAAAACTAATGGTCTATAACAAAAGAAAACCTTCTGGCTAGTTCCCGAACACCCTCTCCTTTTCCCCCAATATACATTTGTGGGGTTTTTTGTTGTTTGTTTGTTTGTTTTCCCCCCTTACTGCAATACTAAGTCTACTAAGTCAAAGCACAGAGTAAATGGAGCGAGCTCCTATTCCATCTCCCAGGTCCAAAGCTCCACTTAATCCACTGTCCTTAAATGGAGGATGGACTAGATAGTAAACTGGTAAGAGCAGATACCACACTTGATCTCAGTCAGAAGACTGAGAAGTGGGGTTTTCCCTATGTCTTTCTGAATTTTGTTTTCTTATCAAGTACCATATCCATTTTTCTTGAACAGGGAGCTTTTTTCAATTTGGTTTTGAGACAGGGTTTCTCTGTGTAGCCCTGGCTGTCCTGGGACTCAGTCTGTAGACCAGGCTGGCCTCGAACTCAGAAATCCGCCACTTTATTTTCAAGGGCTAACTGGAATTCTCAACTGAAGGGTCAATTTTACCTTTCACAGGTCTCTTTTCAGTAATAGGCAGTTCTCCCCTGAGTACTGCTGCTTTTAACATGCTTCTCCTTCTAGACACAGACCATGCAATTACTGCATCAGTAAGCTGTCTTTTTTGCATGTTTCCCATCGATGAGCATGACCCTGCAGGAGCTCATTCAGAGGTTTCCAGAGACTGCTCTTGTGGAGTCATCGTAGTGGAGAAGGTCCGGGCTAAGGGCCCGGGATGCGAGACAAGGGCGGAGCACCTGCCTGCATCTGACCCCAGTAACCACAGGCAGACAGCGGCCGGCCCAGCTACGATGCCTTTATCGCTCTGTACTAATTCAAGGTCTTTTTTGTTGTTGTTGTTAAGACAGGATCCCCTAGCTAACCTGGGCTGGTTTTGTACTTGTGGTCCTTCTGTCTCAACTTCTAGAGTGCCAACATCTCACACACACACACACACACACACACACACACACACACGCACACGCACGCGCGAGCACGCACGCACGCACGCATGCACGCACGCACGCGGGTGTGCCTAACCAAGCGTAGGCCAATCTCTTTAGAGCTGTAAGCATCTGGTAGGGAATAAAGAACGGAGACAAGGTCAGTTTCCTCCCCGAGTCCTGTGGTTCTGGGAAAGCAACAGTGTCACAGCAGAGCACTACAGCCTAGCCTGTCTCTGTGCTCACCAGCTGTGTGACAGACAGGGTGGGGCATCGTCAGAGTCTTAATGTCCTCATCTACAGAATGGGTTACTGTCATGATATCCTAACATCAGGATCTAAGCCCAGCGGTACATGCCTGTCACTCCAACACTCTGAGTGTTAAGGATCATACAGTTGATGCCAACTTGGGCTACATAGTGTGACTCTGTCCAAACAAACAAAGTGCTAATGTCGTCTCTGACAAGACAGAAGTGATCTGGGACAATGAATTGAGGTGAAAAGAAAGAAGCGAAGTGCACATGTCTATACTGAACCCCATATATTTCAAGACAGGATCTCCATAGCTAACCTTGTGTTACAGACACTCACAGCATGTTCAAAGCTTTGATGTTCTGGGACTTTTTTTTTTTTTTACCTCACCAAATGCTCCTCGGCCTATGACTTTTAAAGACTCAAAATCTTCCAGCCCAAGCCTTGTTCTCTTTAACCGAAGAAACTCTGTTTCCTTCCGAGCATGTGCGGATCTTCTGAGTCGTTTCTAATGTTTAAACAAAGAAAAGAAAGACAACCTGAAATTCTGAAACCAAGTCCTATCTGCTTCGTGCAGGGGAAGCAGGCCACAGGTGTCCACGCGTGCGTAATCTTCTCGTGTGACAGCATCACACAAGCGTCCTCTAGCGGCCCCCTCCCCCCTCCTGGGCCATCAGACCAAGCAAGCCACACTGAAGGGGGTGTGGGGCTCCTGAGAACTCTGACTAAACTACTTCAACAATCCACTGTTGTAGCATTTCTAATGGTGAGAGACAAATCGACCTTTTCCTTGAGCCCTTTCTTAGCTAAGGGTGTTTTCCTCCAAGACCAGTACTAGCATTCATTCATCACCCGGCCTCCATGCCCTGTTTTCTACCATATGCTGGGGTCTTGCTATCACTGTCCTGGGCTGTGCCACCTGCACTTCTGAAGGTGTCGCCAGAGCCATTTGGTTACCTGCATCCCCTCTCACTGGCCATATCTTTGCCTTACATCTGTAAGCGCTGTGCATAAGGGGTGATGTGAGGTGGCCCCTTGTTCTGACAGTGACCTCAGAAATGTACCTTACTCCTACGGGACCTTTCAGTTAATTCATTCGCTATTACAGATGAGACCTCATGCTCTGGTGCAGGTTGGCCTCAGTCTTGCAGCAATCCTCCTGCCTCAACTTCCAAGTACTGAGATTACAGAATGAAGCACCACAACTTGGTAAAAATGCTCACCTTACTCTTTTACATTGTAATTGAGTTTTGCTGATTTCATCCTTTCTTTTCTTAGAATTCTAAAGCTAATTAATGACCGTACTGTAAGTAGAGAGATCTCCCTCTGAGTATTTAATTAACTTCCTCCTCTGGATGAGTAACTGAATCCGAAAGCTTGCTAACCCTCAAATCCCTGTCACTGAGCCAAATGCTTCCCTGGCGCCAAAACTAACTTGATGAAGACAACACAACCTTCACACTGGGGCCCAGGAAACAAGCCCCACGGAAATCACCTCTTCATCTTTCAGGCCTTCTTCTTCCATCACTTTTTCTAACTTCTTTTGTCTAAAATAAACAACAAAAAAAGATAGATTAAATAGCATTTGTACTCTGACAAGCCTATATGAACAGAATTGTTAAGCACTTGTAAGTATTCATTTAGATAAAAGGTCATGAAATACGTTTTTATAATGTGTTTAAGAAAAACCACATTAAGCCGGGCAGTGGTGGCGCATGCCTTTAATCCCAGCACTTGGGAGGCAGAGGCAGGTGGATTTCTGAGTTCGAGGCCAGCCTGGTCTACAGAGTGAGTTCCAGGACAGCCAGGGGCTACACAGAGAAACCCTGTCTCGAAAAACAAAAACAAACAAACAAAAAAAAAAGAAAAACCACATTAATAAACAAGAAATATAATGACAGATAACAGAATTTAGTGTTTATAAATGAAATAGGGGGAAGATGACTTTGGGTTAAGGTGCTTGCCACCAAGCCTGGTGGCTTGAGTTTGATCCCAAGTACCAAGAAGATGGAGACAGAACTGGTTCCTGAAAGCTGTCCCCTGACCTCCACTTGTGCCATGGGATAAATGTATACACACACACACACACACACACACACACACACACACCCCAATAATCCTAACAAATGTAATTTTTAAACTGCTTAAAAATTCTATTTTTAAAACAAGTAAAAATCTTCCTTCTTTGTTAGGCCTACTTTTTTTTTTCAAGATCTATTTATCTATTTTATGTATGTGAGTACACTGTTGCTATCTTCAGACACCTCAGAAAAGGACATCAGATCCCATTACAGATGGTTGTGAGCCACCATGTGGTTGCTGGGAACTGAACTCAGGACCTCTGGAAGAGCAGTCAGTGTTCTTAATCTCTGAGCCATCTCTCCAGCCCAGGATTTTTTTTTAACTACAGACTCATGATGATTTGATAAAACTGAAATAACCAAGTAGAATCTTTGTTTACTCAGCAAGATGACGAAAGCACACAGGCTGGAATCCCTCCTCCCCCGTCCGTCCGTCTGTCCGTCCGTCCGTCAGTCCGTCAGGAATCCAGACAAGCAGGTAACATATGCAGAGCAAAGAAGACTAAAAGCGGAGAGTGGTGCTGGAGCTGAGTGGAAGGCCAGGTTCAGTTCCCAGCACCACTGCAACTCCAGTACCATGGGATCTGATGCCCTCTTCTGGCCTTTGCAGGCACCCGCCAGGCAAATGGTACAGACATATATGCATATAAAATATGTATACAAAATAACTAACATTTGCCGATGAGACAAATAAGAACAAGAAAAATAGTATAAAAAATAACTTGTAATTTTATCTCCATGACCAACACTAAGAAATACCTTCAGCCCTAAACCTTAGCTTAGATAACACTGACCCTGGACCACAGGTCACCACGGACAGTCCACTGGGCTTCAGATCACACAAAACATTGCATCATTAAGAAAACCTGAAACAAGAGTTGTTCTTCTCCCCAGTTTCCCTCTTCCTCCTTCTCTACTTCTTTTTCTTCCTTTCCTTCTCCTCTCTCTCTTTCTCCTTTTCCTGTTCTTGTCTTTCAGTCCTGGGAACTGAACTTCAGGCTGGCTGGCACACACACACACACACACACACACACACACACACACACACACACAGTGCTCCACCACAGACCTACACTGCCAGCTCCTGGGGAAGAGGATCTGTGAGAAGCTGGGGGATATTTGCACTGTTCATTCTTGGCAAACACATCCTCACTCCAGGGGAGGACGACAACCATTATTATGTATTAAGTTAGATTTATGGCTTTAGTTAATCCACCACAACAATCTTCAGGAAGAAAAAAATAAGCACAATGTTTTGTCAGAGGAAATGTCTGTTTCCTTGGTTTTAATTACATGGCTATAAAATTATCCAAACTATTATTTTTCTTGACTAGGTAATTATCAGTACTTGCTGGGTACCTTAGCTGTATAGCAGCAAGAACAAGAGGACAGTTACCGTTCTAGAGAAACCTAAAGGCTAATGGACTAAAGAAGGCAAACAGCCAACAGAACTACAGCACGCGTGTCCATAAGGCACCAGGAAGCTCCTGTCACACGGTGTAACACCCTACACCTGAGGAGCCAACTCCTTTGCTGGTGTTTTAGACAGGGTTTCAGATAGTCAGACAGGCCTTACAGCCAACACTTAGCTGAGGCTGTCCTTGATCTACTTACACTTGAGTGGTAGAAACTAGATGTCTAATTAAATGTTTGTACTAGATACAGCACAAGGTATGAAAGTAAAATTGTATTAGTTACTTTCAGAATTGACTGGCTCAAAACTTAGCATTTCAAACTATATCATGTATTAGACATATTCTCAAAGTACAAATATTCCATTACCAACTGTCACTAAAGCTATTACCAAGGCTATTTTCCTGTAATATCTAAAAGCTTAAAATTTCATTTCTAGGGACTGGAGCACTGACTGCTCTTCCAGAGGACCTGAATTCAATTCCCAGCAACATATGGAGGCTCACAACCATCTGTAAGATCCAATGACCTCTTCTGGTGTGTCTGAAGACAGCTATAGCGTACTCCTATACATAAAATAAATAAATAAACCATAAAAAAATTTTATCTCCAAGATATCACCTAGGTTATTCACTGAGGGAACCCCTGACAATCACTGTTGTTTCAAGCAAAAATAAAATCCACTAACCAAACCCACTGTTTGATCCAAAGGGAAAAAGAAGAGTCATCCTGTCGAAGAGTCATGAGGAGATAGCGATTCTGAAGGCACATTAGCTATGCTGGTCCCAGAGACTTTGCCACCAATCTTGAGGGCTCTAACCTAATGAATGGTTTATTCCATTAACGGAGTCAAAATCTGAATACATTCTTGGGAGACAGAGGAACTGCGGTAGGTTATGGGAACATGCTTCTGGGGCTGCATCTTGCCCAAGCTGTCTCCATGACAGCTGCTGACAAAAGGGGCTGAGGCTTCTGAAACTTCAAGTATATGGATAAATCTTTATTTAGAATGTGCCGTTGGCTACCGACAATAAAACAGCAGCAAATAACTGGACAAAATTGTAATTTGTTTCAAAAAACAAAAACAACAATAAAAAAAAGATTGTAATTTGTTTTGGTTTGGTTTTTTGTTTGTTTGTTTTTTGAGACAAGAGTCTCTGTTCTGTATATCCCTGGCTGTCCTGGAACTCACTCTGTAGACCAGCTGGCCTCAAACTCAGAGATCTCCCTGCCTCTGCCTCCCAAGTGCTGGGATTAACAGTCTGCACCACCACTGCCCGGCTAAGATTCTAAATACTTATAAATGCATAAAATACTAGATGGAGAAAAGCAACCAATATGTGGAAACTACACAATAAACACTGCTTTAAAAGTATGGGGAGGGGACACTTTAAAAGTCTCTTTTTAGATTCATTTTTAGGCTGAGTGGTGGTGCACGTCTTTAACCCTAGCATTTGGGAGATGCAGGCAGAGACAGGAGGATCTCTGCTCATCTAAAGACATAGTGGGGAAAGCGATGTACTGGGAGAGAGTGTTCATAGAACACAGGACACAAGAACTGGTATCTGGGGTACACACAGAACTCCTGAAACTCAATAATAAAAAGTCAATACAACAGCTGGGCATGGAAACACACATCTTTAATTCCAGCACTCAGGAGGCAAAGGTAGACAGATCTGAGTTCGGGGAAAGACTGGTTTACAGGCTGCACTTCAAGACAGCCAGGACTACATAATAAGACCTAGCAGGCTTAGTTTTTAAAAACAAGATGGAGCAGTTATCACTGTTGCCATTGAGTAAGCCATCGGAATGACAAGTACTCACATGTTATGGTTAACTCTAGCAATCCTCAAGACAAACAGTATTACCCCCACTTCCTGGTGAGGGAGCTGACACACAGAAAAGTCCTGCGGGAACTAGCTGCAGCCTCGCACAGCTGCTGCTCATAAGGCAGGTCTCAGACCGAGGAGCAACTCCATGAGATCACACTGCTTTAATTATGAACACTAGCAATATAACCAAATTATTTCTTCTTAAAATGCAATCAAGTTTTGGGTTATGACCAGAAGATATAGTTTTAACAGGAAGGATTTGGAAATCTGTCACACTGTCATCCCACTGCAGACGCCAGGCTACATCATGGCAGCTGCAACCCCGGTCTCCATTTGTGTACTAGAGATATGATGCTACATGTAACCACAGCAGACTTCTCATTGCGGTGTGTTTTGGTTTTGGCCTTGTATATGACAGGTGCATACCTACTCCACCACTGAACGACATCCCCAGCCCCAAAATACGATGTTTCCAAACAGAATTCTTTACCTCATCTCCCGTTCCTCATGTTGAGCGATAAGGTTGCTATAGAAGTTCTCCAGTGTCACTTTGGTCATCGTCACCCTCTCCTTGGTGTGGTTACTCATGGACGAGCAAGGTGTTGATCCTGTCATTGCCATGGCTGCTAGGAGGAAAGACAGGCATTGCTGTGCATCTTCCAGCTGGAGTCCAACAACTAAGCACTGCCCTGACCCCTCGGTAAAAATATAAACTGGGACCATTTTCCTGGAGGACAAACATAACACGAAACAAGGGTCGGGCAAACAAGCCAGGCGTGCTGGTTAACCTTAACAGTCAGTTTGACACAATGTAGAGTCCCCTGGAAAGGGAAATCTCAACTAGAGACTGCCTAGACTGGGCTGGCCTGTGAACACGTCTGTGGGGATTTCTTGACTGTGCCACTATGAGTGATACCAGACAGAGCTGGAGAGATGGCTCGGGGAGTTAAGAGAACCTGTTCTTGCAGAGGACCAGAGTCCTGTTTCCAGTATTCACTCATGTTAGATAACCCAAAACCACCTCAAGTCCGGCTCTAGGGACTCCGACATCTCCTCAGGACCAACCCTGCTGCACATACACGTCGTTCATGCCACACACACCTTCTTCCCTCTTTGTAAAGGTTGAAGAAGGAAGGTGAGCACGCAGACAGCATTGGTTGACTGCACTCTGGTCTTGACTGTGGGTATAATGTGAACAGCTTGCTTCAAGTTCTTGCTTCCTTACCTTCCACAACCAGGGACTGCAACCTGGAACTGAGAGCCAAGTAAACCCTTTTTCCCTGGAGTTGTTTTTGTCAGGGTGTTTATCACAGCAACAGGAAACAAACTTAAGTCACCGGGTGTGGTGTCATGTGCCTGTAATCCCCACGCCCGGGAGACACTGGCACATGACAACTTGGAGAGTAAAGCAAACATAAAGCAACTTGGAGAGTAAAGGTTTTATTTGGCTTAAATATTCCATGTCATGGTGCGCTGAGAGAAGACAAGATAACTCAAGGCAGGAACCTGGAAACAGGACTGAGCCAGAAGCCATAGAGGAGCTGGAGGAGCGCTGCTTACAGGCTCACTCTCTATGGCTTACTTAGCTTGCTTCTTACACTCCAGGACCACTATCCGGGAACGGCACTTGCCACAGTGAGCGGGGCCCTCCACATCAATCATCACTCAACAATCTCCCACTGGAGAGACGGCTCAGTGGTTCAGAGCACCGTCTGCTCTTCCAGAGGTCCTGGTTTCAATTCCCAGCAACCACATGGTGGCTCACAACCATCTGTGATGTGAGCTAATGCCATCTTCTGGTCATGCAGATAGAACACTCGTGTACACACACACACACACACACACAGATTAAATAAATCTTGAAAAAAAAAAAAAAGACTGTCGCTGGGCAGTGGTGGCTCACACCTTTGATCACAGCACTTGGGAGGCAGAGGCAGGCGGATTTCTGAGTTCGAGGCCAGCCTGGTCTACAGAGTGAGTTCCAGGACAGCCCGGGCTATAAAGAGAAATCCCGTCTTGAAACTCCCCCCAAAAAAGACTGTCCCAATGGCTTGTCCACAGGCTAATCCAATAAGAGATCATTTTCTCAACTCAAGTACCCCCTTAGAGGATTCTAGCTTGTATCAGGTTGACAAAACACACAAACCTAACACACGCCCTATCTCAAAACAAGCAAAAAATGTACACACACACAATTATACATAACTGCATTTTTTGCCAACTAGGAAACTACCTTGACATAACAATTCATAAACACTCATTTATTTATGAAAGAAAAGGTCACTACATAATTTGGTTCGATCAAACTCATTTCTTCCTGAGACAGGGTTTCTCTGTGTAGCTCTGGCTGTCTTTGAACTTGATTGGACTTGAACTGTGAGATCTACCTGCCTCTGCCTCCCAGTGCTGGGATTAAAGTGTACCACCACCAGCCAGCTCAATGGAACATTTTACTGAGGCAATACTAGAAATAATATGAATAAATATATAATAGAACTGACTGCAAGTATGAAAAATCTCAGCAAACTAGATCCAGTTATTTACAGTAAGGTAAATCAGGTGTGCACAGGCCGGCCATCCTGAACGGTAGGTATTGGAGGTTCAGGAGTTCAAGGCCATCCTCAGCTTACATAAAGACTTAGACTCTGGCCTGGTGTATTGAAAAAGGAAAAAAGAGTATTATTAGTAGTTTAGTTACAAGAGATGAGAATACAGTTTTATTCTAGATTGTATTTTTCTGTGATACATCAATAACTCTTAGATTTTCAATTTCTATAGTTAAAAGAGTCTCAATGACTAACATGCTGACCCACCTTTAATAAGTGTTTACTGGTTGATTCTGTTAGGTTTGAAGATTTATTTGTATTTATTGAATGTATATGAGTCCTCTATCTGCATGTACACCTGCATTCCAGCAGAGCGCATGAGACCCCATTACAGATGGTTGTGAGCCACCATGTGGTTGCTGGGAATTGAACTCAGGAACTCTAGAAGAGCAAACAGTGCTCTTAACCGCTGAGCCATCTCTCCAGCCCAATTTTGTAAGTTTTAATGACAATTTAAAAATAAAAACAAAAGCACTATTACAAAAAAGAAAACTGAATCACAATTCTAGTGCTCAAAGATACCTTAAAAATCAAAGACCCAACTTCCTCATTTTATAAAAAAAAAAAACCATAACCCTGCAAGTTTAAAGATTTATAAAATGTTTTTCCCCTTAAATTTAAGATCTCATTTTCCACCAAATTGACCTATATTATTATATTTGACTTGTTATTAAACAAACTAAACAACACCAGCATGGGTAACCGCATTCAACAGTATATCCTTAGCCTGCTTTCTTTTGTGTATAATTAATCAACTTCCTTCCTCCACTTCCCTCTCCTGGATTTCTTTGATAGGGTGTGACTATGTAGCCTACACTATCCTTCACCATCCAAATGCTGCGGTTCCAGGTGTGCACCTCCATGCCTAATGGGTTACTCTGTCCTTTTACCCCAGCGTAACAGAGCAGAGCAAGACTCAGGAGGAGCAGGGAGCCATTTTCAAAGCAGGCTCATTTTATGAAACAACACTTAAGGTCGTCCATCCCTTGAAGCTCCCAGCTTTCTGAACTGTTTTGTGCATTAAATTAAGGCTTGTAAAGAATGTAAAGACACTTGTTATTACTAAGAGAGGAGAAGGAGACTTAATCAAAGATCAATAGCTGCTTATGTTTGTTTTCTTGGGTTTGTTTGGTTTATTATTGGGTTCTTCTGGTTGGTTTGTTTTATTTTGAGACAAAGCTTGCTGTAAAGCCCTCGCTGGCCTGGAATACACTAAGACTGCCCGGCTGGCCTCAGAATGACCGACCTGCCTAACATCCTGGGATTGGGATTATCCGTGGTAGGTTTTTAAATTTTTTTTAAAAGCTATTCAGACAAAAACTATATAAACAATGATGCATTCAGAACAGAGATTCAAAATCAAGGATCTATTTCAGTGCCAAACATTCTGATCTATGACATCAAAAGTAAAGTATTCACAGGTCCAAAACCTACCAATACCAAAACATACTGCTTTTAGAAGGATAGAGGAGTTAAAAAAAAAAAAAAAACCTTTGGTCTCTGAAGCTTGGGTGTGGTTTCTTATTTGTCAGCCTGTACACCCTCCGCCCACAATGAAAACCACATGCACTCTAAGTGTGTTTCAAGAGAATACTTAAAACCAGACATAAAAAACAATCCAGGGCAGTAAAATGTAGCAGGTAAAAGTGCTGCCACCAAGCCTGAGGACATGCGCTCAACGCTTGGGATCCACGGGTTGTCAAAGAAAACCAACTTCTACAAGGTGCCCTTTGACCTCCACAAACTTGCCAAGGGAAGCCACTAAAAGCCTCTAACCACCACCCCACCATGTACCACAAAATAGATAGAACTTTAAAACACGGCAAGTGAGAGTTGTCTGAATTGTCTAGACAGCCTACATACATAGTTACTGTATGTGTTGTGCATGTATATACACATGGGAAGTGGGAAACTGTTTCACTTTGGTGAACCAGGCTGGCACTGAACTCATGGCAATCCTCCTGCCTCAGCTTCTCAAGAGCTGGGATTCCAAGCATTAGCCACCACAGCAGGCTCTACAGACAGAAACACCTTAACAACTAAAATTATTTAAGGGTTGAAAACACAGCTTTGTGTTAGAAGAGAAAGAAGACAGGCATGCAGGCAGACAACCCTTCCATATATCAAGTAATTAGCTGCTCCACGTTGAGCAAGCTAATGATTTTAGTTGTCAACACAGCTGTAGGAAGGAAGAGACCGTTTATAGACTGGTATACAAAGAACCGGGCAACACAGCTCTGATTTGGGCTAGGGAAGTAGTTCATTTGTTCGGTGCTTGTCCATAATGCACAAGAGCCTGGGTTCTATTCCAGAACCAAAAAAAGGGGCTGGGGGGCTACATCTTATTCAAGTCACCAGCACTACTTCCTACACTTCAAAAAGCTCCACAAGACCAGGGGGTGGAGTTCCAAGACAGCCATGGCTACACAGAGAAACCCAGTCTTGAAAAATCAATTAACCAATCAATCAATGAATAAAAAGATCCACAGGAAGCCAGGCATGGTGGCACACATCTTTAATCCCAGGCAGAGGCATGCAGATCTGTGAGTCTGGGGCCAGCCTGGTCTACACAGTGAGTTCCATGACAGCCAGAGCTACAAAGTGAGAACCTATCTTGAAAAAACTAAAAGGTAAGGTTGATGGGATATTACATGTGTTCACAGACGCCAAATATAGCAAGCCAGCAGAATCTTTTTATTCTTCAGCCAGTATCTAATGCAATGTCAAGCACTGCACTCTCCTTCCCAAGCTCACTGTGTAGACAAGGTGGCCTCCACCTCAGACCAGCTGGCCTGTCCCTCCCCAGTGCTGAGGGGCCCACCACACCCAGCGCTTTTGACCTTTGTTCAAGCCCTTCTCTCTACCTCCACTCATAAAGGGTTTAGCCTAATTCTAATAACCTTTAATCAAAAGATCCAATTAATATTGCTCAATAGCAATTTACCGGTTTACTGGGTCAACCGAGTGCTGCTTACGAGGTGGGGCTCTCCCTCCTGCCTTCCATCATTCAAGCTTCCTGCCCTGACCTGTAAGCCACTGGAGTCCTATTTACTTCAACCTCCTTTGGCTCTGCAAAGTTACAGGACGGTGGGCAACAAAGTCTTAGTTTAGCTTGTTTAACTAACAAAGTATACACTCTTCATAAAACTCAGCACTGAGGACTGTGACCTCAGAGTGAGCTCAAGTGAGAATCAACGGTTTCATTCACTACCGAGTTACGCCTGGCTGGATGTCTTTACAACGATACCTCCATCTCTGCAAATACCATTTCCGCCAACATTTTATTTCCTTGTCACCGAAAGAAAGGTCTATTCTCTGTCACTGGAGAATTCGAGCCGAGGTCAAGGCTATTCCTTAAGAGTCACAAAGAGGAAGGCAGAGGCATGTGGATCTCCTAGTTCGAGGCCAGCCTGGTCTACACACCAAGTTCCAGGACTGCCAGCACTACACAAAGAAACCCTGTCACAAAAACACATTAAAAAAAAAAAAAAGTTGCCAGGCAGTGGTGGTGCACACCTTTAATACCAGCACTTGGGAGGCAGAGACAGGCAGATTTCTGAGTTCGAGGCCAGCCTGGTCTACAGAGTGAGTTCCAGGACAGCCAGGGCTATACAGAGAAACCTTGTCTCGAAAAAAACCAAAAAACAAAAAAAGTCACATGTGGGCTGGGCTGTGGTGGGACATTCTTTTAACCCCAGTACTCTCGAGGCAGAGACAGGAAGATCTCTATGAGTTCTAGGCCACCTTGGTCTACAAAGCAAATTCCAGGCCAGCCATAGGTACACATCAAGACCCTATCTCAAGACAAAACGCTGTTTGTTAAGTCCACTCCTGGGAGCGGGGGGAGACACACACGCCTGATGTTGAAGTGGGTGTGTATGATGGTGTGCTAGGCAGAGTTTGAGGACAGAGCCATCCTGTTATAGGAGGAAGCTGCTATCTTATGTTTGGGGTGGGGTGGGGCGGGGAGCTGTTCTTGCAGCCCTGGTGGTTTTTGTTTTGTTTTGTTTTGTTTTTTTGGTTTAGGGAAACCGCATGTACTGGCTACTTCCCAGCCAAGGTGAGCTGAAGGAAGAGGAAGCAGCGAGGCTACTTCACGCTGCTGACCTTCCTTTTCATCTTGAAAAAGAACAAGGGTCTCCTGTGTCTCTGGGTCCTTTGCAGGGTGCCGCTGGCAGCCGTTATGCGCATTCTGACACACTTTTCCTCCGGCTCTTAAGACACTTTTCCCTGTCCTCCAGCTCGGTTCCTTTACACAGGTCTTCTTAACAGTCTGCAGACTACGGGCGGGGATCTTAAGGTGATAGGATGCCCGGTACCCCCTAACCACGGAGTAAGGGGGACAGCCTCCAAGGTCCCATACCTACCCCAGGGTGGGGGGAGCTCTCGAACTGCAGACACTCTCGGGTTCTCGCATCCCGAGCTGCAGAGTGATGCTGACCGAGGTCCCAGAGGGGACGGGCCGATGGCAGCAGGCACACAAAGCAGGCGACGAGGGAAGGAGCCCGTCCTGACTGCGGACAGAGGAGTGGAAGGAGAGGGACGGACAAGGAGGGTCTGGGGACCACAGAGAGAACGCTGACAGGAGCCCCGGAGTGCACAGAAGCGGACGGACGGACGGACGAGGCGGCGTGCCTGAGGCGACGGCCGCGAGACACTCACCAGACCCGGGAAGGGGGGGAGATGGAGGCGCGGGGCCGGCGGCGACGGCTACGGAGACGGCGCAGACGCGACGTACGGGCGGCTCGAGAGCGACCGCGCCGCGCCGGGGGACTCCGAGGGAGCGCGGCTGCCGAGCCGCGACGGGAGAGGACAACAGGAAGAACCCCAACCGCCGGAAAAGACGGCAGCGCGGAGGGGCCAAGACTCCCCGGTACCCCCTCGGATTGTAGAGAGGGGCCGCCGCGGCCGAGACTGCGCATGCGCCACCCGCCGGCGGCGCTCGCCCGGCAGCGGGACTGCGCGTGCGCGGCGGTGCCCCGCCCACATCCTCACCCCTCACCCGGCTGCGCCTAACCAAGGAGGCCCGACGAGAGCGGTGTAGGGCGGGCTCCGAAGTGGCTTTGTACTGGGCTGGACTCCGTTCGCCTTTGCGATGTGACTTTTTCTTTTGAAATAATTATAGACTCACCAGAAGTTACAAAACGAAAACCTGGAAGTTCCGTAAAAGCCAACACCCACCCTGCTTCCCTCCGTGTCTTACATAAGACACCCGGTCTCAGCACCCGGAAATTGACATTGGCTTTCGATCAACTAAACCAATGCAATCACCGACCGTGACCGGGGATTTAGCGTTTGGCGTGCACTCGCGGGACGATGTCTTTAGTCCTCTGAAATTTAATCAGAGTTTTCCCCCCTCCTCCTTGACTTCAGATCATTGTAACCATAAGACTGTAGGAACCCGTGGCCCCTACCTATTTTTTTTTTTTTTCATTATTGTAAAGGCTTAACGTGCTTTTGTTTGGAGTCAGGTGATCTCTCACACCCTAGACCTCTCCATTGTGCACAGAACTTAAAGCCTCTCATTGATTCCCAGAGAACTGAGCCCAGTGCCCTTGATTGGAAAGTTTTAAACTCCTGAAAAGCAACGAATGACTCTCTGCAAAGAGGTCCTCTGGGAGCAAGAGATGAGAACTCCTTCTGTTAGTCATGCCCTGAGCGGTCCGTGGATAAGTGTTCTGATTCTCCCTTCTCTAACTGGAAAGACCTTACCCTAGGATTTGGTTTCCTTCAAGCATGAGATGCCAGAATTTATTTCCTTCGTGATCTGAAAAAAGACTTGACCCTGTCATCTTCAAGCCAAGTTTCCTTTAGTCCAAAAATCAAAAACAAAAACATGGCTGAAGAGATGCCTGGCAGCTCTTTCAGAGGACCCAAGTTCGAGTTTCAGTCTTGCTGGAACCGGAGCTAAGGATGGATGGTTGTGAGCTATTTGTTTTCATTGTGTGTGTTGCCCGCTGCTCGTAAATCTGCGTGTACACAACCATGCAGTTCCAGCAGAGGCCAAGAGGGTGTCAGACCCTCTCAAACAGGAGTTACAGAGAGTTATTAGTTGCCATGTGAGTGCTAGGGACTAGACCAGGGTCCTCTGTACTTTTAATAGCTGAAGAATCTTTCTAAATTCCACTTTTGATTTTTTAAATTGCGTTGTAATTATTGAATTAATTATCTTACTAATACTTTTTTTGCCTCTTAAATTTTTTTGAGGCAGTCTCATGTAGCTCAGGCTAACACAACTTGTTGCCGAGGATAATCCTTGAACTCTGCCTTAGCCTCCCAAATCTTGAGATTACTGGTGTGGTTACCATGTCTATCATTTGAAAATGAATTCCTCCCGGGCGGTGGTGGCACACGCCTTTAATCCCAGCACTTGGGAGGCAGAGGCAGGTGGATTTCTGAGTTTGAGAGTTCGAGGCTAGCCTGGTCTACAGAGTGAGTTCCAGGACAGCCAGGGCTACACAGAGAAACCCTGTCTCGAAAAACCAAACCAAAAAAAAAGAAAAAAAGAAAAGAAAATGAATTCCCAAGCAGGGGGTGGTGGTGCATGCTGTTATTCCAACGGTTCCACGCCCACCACCACCCCAGCATAGACATTCACTCCCCAGTCCCACGGGACTTGATGTCTTGGCAAACATTCTTCTTCTCAATCTTCCCCAGAGTTCCTAACCTCGTAGCCTTCTTTCTCTTCACCTTTAAATGCTGTCCCAAGTCATTCTTTGTCCTCTAGCAATCACCTGTCTCCTCATCAGGGTGACCCAGGATTGCTTAACCAGCTGAAGCACATAAGGTCAGGTCCCATAGCCGCTGGCACTGGTGCCCTACCCACAGTGGCAACTCTAACCAGCTGATTCTGAATATTTTTTTCCATAACAGATCAGGCATGGAGCTTAGTGTGCCTGGCCTGGTGCTTCTCAGACACGGGTGTGCATACTGTTTAAAAAAAAAAAAAAAGCGCTGAGCAGTGGTGGCGCACACCTTTAATCCCAGCACTTGGGAGACAGAGGCAGGTGGATTTCTGAGTTCGAGGCCAGCCTGGTCTACAGAGTGAGTTCCAGGACAGCCAGAGCTACACAGAGAAACCCTGTCTCGAAAAAAACGAGAAAGAAAAAAAAAAGAAAAAAAAAAGCTTTTAGAATATACAGTGAGTGCTCTTATAGCAGACACAAGTTCAGTTCCTAGCACCACATGATGGCTCCCAACCATCTGTAACTCCAGCCCACAGGAGATCTAATGTAGATGTACTTTTGGGGCTACTTTATTGGGTACCACCCTTCTAATCACCCCACAAACACACACACATACACCCAACACTAGATAGGAGAGAAAGAGAGGAAAGGGAGATAGACCTCTTTAGACTACTCACTGCTGATTAGAAGCATTGAGTAAATCCAATCTTATTGTCAGATTAGCTTCAATCCATCAATAAATAGCAAGAGGAGAAGGGGGAGGGGGAGGAAGGGAAACCAGCAGGGGACTGGCAGTCACTCCAGGCTCTTTTTTTTTTGTTGTTGTTTTTTTTGTTTGTTTTTTTGATACAGGGTTTCTCTGTATAGCCCTGGCTGTCGTGGAGCTCACGCTGTAGACCAGGCTGGCCTCGAACTCAGAGATCTGCCTGCCTCTGCCTCCCAAGTGCTGGGATTAAAAGCGTGCGCCACCGCCGCCTGGCCACTCCAGGCTCTTTCAGGGGTCTCTCATTTACACAAGAGTCTGCAAAATGCCAAACTATGTAAACCATCCGCAGCTGATAAAAATCACGCCCCTCCTAGAGCACTCGACAGTGATCGGCAGCGGCCGCAGATAGACTGAAGCAGCCCCATATCCCACACCTGGGATTAAAACACAAACGTATTCACAGAACATCACTGGGTTTTGCAAAGACACCAGAACTCTCTGATCCAGTGTTGTCCTCTGGTACCGCACATCTGTAATGCACAAGCAAAAAAAAAACACCTACACACATAAATTAAAAATAAGTGGTGGGGGGGAGGTGGGTGGCAAAACAGGGCTGGATAGAGAGCTTAGTGTTTAAGAATGAACATTGCTTTGTGCAGGTTCCCAACATCCATACTGGGGATCTCATAACTGCTTTCAAGATCTACAGGCGTCTACACTCATATGCGTGTGCGCGCACACACACACACACACGCAGGCACAAATTATAAAGATAATCTTTTTTTCTGAAAACAGAAGTTCTAGGAATTGCATATATAACTCAGAAGCAGAATGCTGGGCAAACACGGGTTTTATTGCCAACAGTAACAGGGAAAATAAAATAGACTCTAGTTCACAGGTCAGGAAGAACCCAGGTCCTGTCTCACGAGCCCAGAGGAGACGCTGCTGCTGCTACAAATAATAATGATAATAATAATAATACAAATAATATCTCCCTGGAGCAGCAAGAAGAGCCAGCAGCCCTAAGTCTGTGGGTCAGATGTATGTATGTGGTCCTGTAGGTATGAGCGTGTGTGTGTGTGTGTGTGTCTGTGTGTGTGTGATAGGTGCCACCTGTGCAGGTGCACAGAGCCTAGCGAGAATGTGACATGTGCTGGAGCAGCGGTACAGGCCTCAGTGTGTGTGTGTGTGTGTGTGTGTGTGTGTGTGTGTGTGTTTCTCTGTATAGCCCTGGCTGTCCTGGAACTCACTCTGTAGACCAGGCTGGCCTCAAACTCAGAAATCCGCCTGCCTCTGCCTCCCAAGTGCTGGGGTTAAAGGCGTGCGCCACCACCGTCCGGCTACCAGCAACCCTTTCTATTGTTAGGAAAACCTCAACACTGCTTTATAGAAGCTAGTCCTGCCTGAAATTCTTTTCAGCATCAAAGCCATGAATCCTGGATTTGAGGTCCCTAAAAGATTAAGGAGGAAAAAGGATTAAGGGAATGTAACCAGACATGGTGGCTTATGGCCAAAACCCCAGAACTGAGGACATAGAGGCGAACAGATCTCTGAGTTAGTTCGAGGCCAGCCTGGCCATGTCACCTGTAGTTGAGATCAGAGTCGAGGCCTTCCAAATTCTTGGTCTATTCCTCTGATTTACTAGAGCAGCAGGAAAGGAACCCCTTAGAGCAAAGGGCAGAGCAGATCCTGCAATACTTACAACGGAGCAGAGCCACAGTTACTGCCTGGGACGACTCTTCTGTGCGGTTCAGTAGGAGTGTTTACTACAGGTTCAGTGAGCGTGGTTCTCTGTTCTGACTGACACATTAGCTCATAATTACTTTTTCCTGTTGCACAAGCCCCTTCCCATAATGCACCTGATTTGGCTCCTATGCACCCTTCCTTGTGTACAGGCATTGAAAGATAAGTCGGGAGTTCTCCCTATAAGTTCACTTGATGAGAGAATTTTGCTGCCACAAATCCAAAACCAGTCTGGACTGGATTACACACACACACAAACACACACACACACCCTGTACCAGGATGTATTGGGAATGCATTTGAATAGAAACCGAATTTCACGGTTATTAAAGGGAGAGAAGTCTTATCCCAGTATTCAGAGAGGAGTGTACTATTGCCTAATGCGGGTGGGGGATCTGAGAAGAGTTGGGAGAAGTGTGTGTGTGTGTGTGTGTGTGTGTGTAATGCACAGGTGAAGTTCAGTATATTGTTCAAAGAGAAACGTGTGCATAGTCCAAACCACAAGTAGAGTACCAAGTTACTAAACTCTGCTTGTCTGCCGAAACCTACATAGTGAGTTCCAGGCCGGCCAGGGCCACATCTCAAAATGAGGAGACGGCTGGAGAGATGGCTCAGCAGTTAAGAGTACTGGCTTCTT